TCAGGAATCGCACCTCCGGCTCCGTACGCCGTTACACTTTTCTGGAATTTCACCACCGGTAAGTGTATGAACCAAGTGGTCGGGTTTTTCACCCGAGAGAGTGTCTAGCCCTACTTGCTATACCCGATACAAGTTTTCTTATGCATGTCACCGTGCGACTCCGTAGGACGTTCCATCTCACTTTCCCGAGCCTACCATCAAGTACCAATATTGGTGTTGATCACCCCATGCAACCCTACACCCACACTCATGCATGTAGCCCATGAATGTGATGTTAATTCCATGTCCATATTGCAATGCATGTCAAATGACAATTTTTAAATATCATTGTATACCATGACAATTAATATCATTTGCATATAATCACATAACCATTTTAAGTTCAATATATCCAAGAGCATATATCAACACTCCATCAACATGATAACACATAATACATGTTAATATTACATTTCATTCACAAGGCATAATATAAAACACAAAGTATGCCCACATGATCCCAATTTCCAAGGGATTACATAAATATTTCCATATACCAAAATCAAGCCCAGATTTTATATGGATCATTCAAACAAAATAAAATCAGAATATATGATTTTTTTATAACCAATTATCTAAACATTCAAGAAATCACAAACTAGCACTTTCTAACTACCAATTCACACTAGAATTGATCCTACCCATTTCCATAGCACCAATCATAATGAAAAAATATTAGAAATACCCGAAACAGTCCACATGAACCCTATGGACACCTTAGGTTAGAAATAGGTCCGAGCAGGAGGAACCCTACCTCTTGAAACGTAAAGAATTTGTAGGAAGCCTAAAGAATAAGATTGAAGTCCAAAGCTTAGATTTTTCCAAAATCCTCCCTTTGAATCTTCGGTAAAAATCTTTGTTTTTGGTACCCACGCGTAGCTCTCGTCGCGTAGATCGACTTTAATTCTTGGCCCGACGAATTCCGACCGACAGAACTCCGAGAATCGGCGAAAGAAAGCTTGAAGAATTATATTTTTTTCTTCTTTGCTCTTGGGTTTGATCCCACTTTTATACTTTCTAAACACTTGGCCCTCGCCACGCCAAGTGTCGTCCTTTGTCTGGGTCCGTTTTCATCCCGAAACGATTAAATTTCGTACCGATTTAAGCTCAAAATATTTTATATGAATTTTATTTAAAATATTTTTCAAATTTTAAAATTTTTATAAAAATTTCGTTTTTAGGGTCATCGAACACCCGTCACCTCGAAAAATGTGAAAAATCTGACTATATTAGAATTCGACGAAATTTGTCTGGGTAACTAGATTTCGTGAGACGAATCCAACAGTGAGGTCCGTTTCATCATCCGAGGTCTATAAAAATACCAGTTTTTTTAACCCACACTATAATGGCAAATTACCATTTTGCCATTTTTTTTTTCAGAAAAAGTTAAAATTTTTCCCGGGTTTCACAAACGTCACCTCCACCTCCACTGCCACCACCCCCACTATCGCCGCCATCGCCACTACCACCGCTACACCCTGCCATCGCCACCGCCACCATCACCGTCACCTCTACCTTCACCGCCACCACCATCGCCGCTACCACCACCATCACCGTCCTTGCCGTCGCCGCCATCACCACTACCCCCACCATCGCCACCGCCACTACTGCCACCCTTATCACCGCCATATCCACCGTCACCACTACTGCTGTCGTCGCAGTTACTGCCATCACCACCACCGTCGCCATCACCCCCATCGCCCACCACTGCCACCTCCACCACCCCCACTGCCACCGCCACCTCCATCACCACCACTGTCGTCGCCGCTACCGTCATCACCACCACCGCCATTACCACCACCACCACTACCGCCGTTGTCACTACTATCACCACCACCGCTACCGCCACTATTATTGTTTCCTACTACCACCACTATTGTCCACTATCTCTCACACCCACTACAAATCAATGTTTAAATTACTTTTATTTCTTCTTTATGTTTATAATTTAATTTTGAATATAAATACAAATATATTTATTATTTATAATTTTTTATTACTCTGTGCCTTCAAGCACATACAATAACTAGTTTATATATATAAGAACAAACATTTTTTTTTGGGTGAAAGGGCTTGAGAAGAATTTCCTTCAACGTTTTTAATTTTTAAGAATTTTGAACTGTCCTAAGTAATGACTCATAAACTCCTTCTAACACTTACTTATTTAATTACTTTTAATAAATCAAATCTTGTAAGCATCACCCAGGGTTGAAAGTTAGAACTGCTTTACAATGAACATTTGAGATTAAGTTGATATGAAATCAATAATTATACTTAAAGCAAGAAACATTACAATTAAAAGGGTTAGTGCAAACCAATATAGTTGACAATTTTCAAATCCAGTTTGCACTTTAATACATCATCGTTCAATTTTACTCAATAATGAAAAACAATCATATGTACGTTAAAACAAAACACATACCTATAAATTCCAAGTTCTATTTGAATTCATAATAGTTGATCTATCAAATTTTTTTATTATATTGGTAGTAATATATTGAAATTGAAAGATGTTGCGGACCTATTGTGTGATTCATCATTTACAATTTGTCAAGTCATTTGTTTCGCAAATGAGTAGATTCAATATGACACGATATTGACTTGAGAATGAGTAAAATCAATTAAAATAAATACATGACACCATTCGTTTATATATATATATATATTATATACGATTTATATATGATTTATATACAATATACATATTCAATAGAAAACGATTCGTTAAGTACAAATTAATCAAAAAACAGGCAGTGTTATCAAAATCGAACCAGACCTGATGGTTCGATCGGTTAGACCGTGAACCGGGACCTCAGCCGGCCTAGTTTTTGAATTGAACTGCTTAAGCAGTTAAACCAGAATAAAACTGTCAAATCGAGTGATTTTTGGCAAAAACCATGCACCAAACGGTTTAGTCAAACTGGACGATTCTACTGTGTGAGGGATCTACTTGGTACTGCTCTCATATGGTGCTTCGGCTTATATGGGGGTGGGGAGACGACTCTTTCCCCGATGTGGGACAGAGGTAAAGGCTACTGTGGGGGTTTGACCTCCCCATTACCGGGGATATACCTCCCTCCAAGAGCAATCCTCCCAATTACCGGGGATATCCCGCTCTCCATCAAAGGATTTCGGCTAACCTGCGGGTCAAACCCCCACAGTAGCCTTTACCTTTGTCCCAAATCGGGGAAAGAGTCGTCTCTCCACCCCCATATAAGTCGAAGCACCATATGAGAGCAGTACCCAAGTAGCACACTGTGGTACTGCTCTCATATGGTGCTTCGGCTTATATGGGGGTGGGGAGACGACTCTTTCCCCGATGTGGGACAGAGGTAAAGGCTATTGTGGGGGTTTGACCCGCAGGTTAGCCGAAATCCTTTGATGGAGAGCGGGATATCCCCGGTAATGGGGAGGATTGCTTTTGGAGGGAGGTATATCCCCGGTAATGGGGAGGTAGATCCCTCACATACTGTCTTTTTCATAAAAACCCCCAGCTTCGGTCCTTCAAGCTTCTTCACTCTTTCAAGTTTTTTTACTCCTCCTTCGTGCTTCAACTAAGTGGAGGTCTTTTCTCTCTCTCCCTCTCTCTATCTTCTCCAGTATCATAATAGGCTGTTGGTTACTTGGTTAAGTTAATTTTTTTTTTCTTTTTACCAGAATTGTTACAACTATTAAGAAGTATTTTTTTTTTAGTATTCTTGTCAGAACAAAATTTTGTTAATAGTATTTTTCATTTTTAACACAGGTATTTTTTTTTTACTTAATTAATTTATGATAAATTATATGTATTAGGTTAATGTTTTATATCTTTTTAGCTAAATTATTATATTTTATAATTTTTTTATTATTCGACTGGTCCAACCAATTGACTCAGTAATTAAATCATTAAACCATTGATCCAATTTCTTTGTCGATTCCATATCCAATTCGACATCTATGGAATCAGGTATACATAAAATGTTGGAAAAATTTCAATCACACCCCCTCTAATTTACCATATCTTCAAAGACATCCTCTCAAGTTTTTGAATCTTTAATGACACCCCCTGTCAGACTAAAAATTTTAGTAGAATATAATTTTACTAAATTGCCCATGATATATTTGAGGACAAATTTCATCCACACCCCCTCTAGATAAATATATCTTTAATGAGACCCCCTCTAGATAAGTATATTTTTAATAAGACCCCCTCTATCTTCTAATTTTTTTTTTATGTTACTAAATTCGAATCGATTAAAATTCGATTCAAGATAATTAAAATTTAATTTTTTACATATTAAAATTTGTGCCAATTAAAAATTATATTTTTTTTACGTATTAAAATTTGGGCTAATTAAAATTTTGTTTGAGCCAATTAAAAATTATTTTTAATCGACTCAAATCAAATTTTAATAAATTCGCATTGAATTTTAATCAGCCCAAATTTTAATATATAAAAATATATGAATTTTAATTGACTTAAATTTTAATAAATCAAATTTTAATAAGTAAAAAAAAAATTTAATCGACTTGAAAGAGAATTTTAATCGTCGCTAACAACTCGGGTAGAGTTCAAATCGGCTCAAATTTTAATAGGCTTGATTTTTTTTAAAAAAATTATGAAATTAGTAAATAACAAATTATTATTTACTAACAAATTATTTACTAAAATTGTTATTCACGAATTTTTTTTAAAATTTTAACAGCTCGAATTTTAATAAAATTACTTGAGGTTATGTAGGGTTATTTTTGGTATTTTAGATGATTTTTTTTTTGTTAGAAATAGTAGTTTAATGGTAGGGGGTGTTAGTAATGTTTAAATTAAATTAGAAGGGTGTCATTGAAGATTCATAAATTAGAAGGGGTGTATTTGAAGATATAATAAATTAGAAGGGATGTCGTTAAAATTTTCCCTAAAATGTTTTTTTGACTGAAACTCACTAAAGTCGGACACGAACCAGTCGCATCCGTAACCCAACCCACATGACTACACACACTCAATGGGCGGCAGCCCAAGAACATAACCCGCTTCTTGTTTTCAAGTCATTAGTAGATCAAACGCTAAATCCCTAGCAACTCAAAAACCGAACAATCGTCCAATTAAGTCCACGATCACGATCACGATCACGATCACGATCACACACAGATAGATATATACGTATATATACGCCATATCTATATAGCTTTGTGAGTGATTTTTAGTTGCTGAGGAGAGAGAAATGGGGCAATTGACTGGCGTGAGTGACGGTAAAGGTAAAAGAGGAGGAGGCGGCAAAAAGGAAGAACAAGAACACGAACAAGAGGGCATGTCTGTTCATTCACCTTGCAAACCTCCACCTTCCTCTGCTTCTTCTCTCCGCTCGGTCACCTCTCTCTCTCTCTCTCTGTGTTTGTTTATATATATGAGTGTACATAATGTGGGGGTTATCTGGGTGTTTGTGTGCGCGTGTGTGGGTATGGTTGACATGAGATTATTGGGTTTTGCATTTTATATGTTTTTAGTTTAATTGTTTTTTTTTTTTCGGGTGTTTAGGAGCAATCACAGGTTGAATTGGAGCTCAGACTGTTGGAAGCTCTGGAAATCTATCCACCCGCCAAATTACAAGGCAAGTTCTTCCATTTTTGAGTTGGTTTTCTGGATGTGTTTGGAGTTCCTTTGAAATAGAAAAAGCATTTTTTTTGGGACATCCAAGCACACACTTTTATCATACTTTTTCTTTTTGTTTGATTAAGATGTAAAAAAGAAAAGAAAAAGAACTGTGCCTAGTTTCTGCCACAGATTATGTATGGACAATTACATGCAATGTGTTATGATTTTTAAAAAGGCATGGTGAATGGTAGGAGTAAGAGATGGACTGCTAATTTTTAAAAATAAAGAACTGATTGGGAGTATGAATTTCTATTCTTATTATGGTTTTGATAGGAACTTTCATATATTCTCATTATTGTTTCGATAGGAACGTGGATGTATTCTCATTAGTGTTCCAATAGAATCATCAATTATCGATCCTTGTAGTAGCATTGAAAGTTGCTCTTAATTGGGCAATCTTTTTATTGCAGTGGCAAAGTGAAGCATCTTGATAAACAATTATTTATAACACACACATACTCAGTTTTGCCGAGATGTCATGACTATTTATTTCCATTATTATATTGTGCTATTACAAGCAAAAGCTGCCATGTGCTAATATAGAATGATATATTGTTGATCTTAAAACTTCAGAATCCTCAGAGAAGTTTGCATTATATGAAGAGAATGTTATTCTAGTAAACAATGCACCACGATCCTTTGCTAATGTTGAGATCAGGAAATTGAATGCTAGATTCAACTTTTTGTATTGTTTATTTAGCAATCAATTTGTATATAGTTAAATATTTTTTATTAGCTGAATGTTTTCTTGCAGGCATGCATCGTCACTTTGTCCTTTATGGTCTATCTGAGTATCTTCGGAGGAGGTTTGTTCTGCATTAAGTTTCTATGTAAATTCTCCTGGAATTTCAAGTAAAGTTTTCTCTAGTGATATAATGTTCCAGTTTTTCCTTTGTAAAACTTTCACACTCGAGGAACTTTTTGTCGCAGCTTTAATAGGCACTTCTCTTCTGATGATGTTTTGCAGTTGCTGGATCGTTTCTACAACCTGGAAATGCTGGTATATATTAGGGTAGTCAAGGATTGCATTATTTTATTCCCTAATTGATCACTCTTAACTGCACAAAATGGATAAAACAAGCGTTCTTCAAGTGTAACTACTACGACCTTGGATTTGCGTATGAATGTTGCTGCCACAAGTTATAAAATCTTATGTTCCCAGATCATCCGGAACAATGCTTGGTAATGGCTTTTAACAGCATCCTACCATACATTTTAGGATACATGTGGAAATAGAACAAATCTCACAAGTTGGTGGCTAACTTTGTAGACACCACCACTATTACTAAATGACTTGCAATTAGATTATTTTTCTTCAACCCAAAATATGAGGCCATCTGACAGTCAGGGATTTGAAGGCAAGTTCGGGTTCGAAGGCACCCACTCAATGTGTGTAAATTCGGATATGAAGTTTGTATGTACGACGTAGTTGACTTTTAGAGTATTGAGCCGTCATCTACTCTAAAAGTTTAAGCTGATAGACAGTGGGTAATAACACATGTATTTATCACATCCTTCTCCTCACTTGAGGTTCCTCTTGGGTGGTACGTCCACGTGGTTTTATTCTTGTTTTTGTCTAATAAAGGAGAATGCTTGATGCGATTTGAACTCAGGATCTCTAGACTTTGATACTATGTTAACCACCCTCCATTGATAGATAAGGGTGTAACATATGCATTTAATATTGAGCAAGTTCACTTCAGGCGTTGCTCATATCGGACTGCAGTCCCCTAACCAAACAGGAATAATGATTAAAACTTGTGCAACCAATGATATATTTATCAGTGATGACTGCTGAGATAAGGGCAGTAGGGTGGTGCTTATTGCTCAGGTATGTTTCTTCAGAAAGAAGTCTTAATGGTGGGCTGGTGACACAATGGTAGTAGTCCTCTTAATTTTTGAGAGAGAGAGAGAGAGAGAGATTCTTTGTGTTTACTGTGCACATGTGTCTATTTTTGGACATGAAGCATGTTTTGTGTGTTCTCTAGAGATTTTAAATTCACTTTTGTATCTTTCTTTGTACTTAATTACCAAGAATTCTCCTTGAACTTGCATTTATAGAGGTTCGGAGATTGATATTTTCATTTACATTGCTTCTTTCTTTCTAAAATTTCAGAAGCCAGATGATGATGAGAACGAAATCCTGAATCAGGAGGAAGAGTTTTGCTTGCCACAAAGTTACTTCATGAAGGAAGAATCTTGACTTGCATAGTTTTGAAGTGTATTGAACATATTTTTTGTATGTTGATATATATGGTTGCCATGGTTATCTTCATCTTTCTTTGACATTTTTATAGTCATTCCATATGTGCCATTAAGCGTCACTGGATCACACGGCTTGCTTGGTAGTGTGTGGGATGGTGGATTTGTTTAATCCCTGCAATCCTAACTGAGGACGGGTTTTTGGAGTTAGCTTACCTTCGCGGAATCGCGACCCTTTGTCCCGGCCATAAGTTAGGCAATGAGAGTAGATTTTAATCCCAAGGTAGCTCAAGTAGTTCTTTGGAGTTAAGTTATAAGAGAATTATCCTTCATAAATACCTATTTCTAGTATGAAGGACTTACTTACCTTTGACTGAACTGGGGAGGAAAATAGTCGAAATAAGCAAAACTGATTCGGATATTCTTGACCATTGAACTAAAAAAATGGGAGCTTGGTAGGTTAAGATTTTATATATTGAGAAAGACTGTAGTATTGAATCTGATATCCTATCTGAAGAAGGATACAAGCAAACATGTATAAAAGACCCCCACAACTAATCAATGATTCGAGGGGTCTGAGTTATAATTAAAAATATTTAAATTAATTTTAAAATATTATAATTGATCCCCATTTTTTTTGAATTTGATTCCAACAAATATGCTGAGTCATAGACTTGAATTATTTGAGTTGAAATCATAAGCCGATAAGATGAATTATAAAGCAACTAGCAAGATTTGCAGGTCTAGCCTCAAATCTCAAATCTAAATGTAGGTGTGTGAAAATTTGTACATGCAAGCTAAAAATTCTGTTTCAATGCATAATACCTTCCATTAACATCTTTTCCCCACTTTCCACAAGTTGGCACTGCACCAATATTGACCCATTTGGAGCTGATTTTTTTTTTGGTACCAAATAGAAATTTGAAAAATAAAATGAAAAATTCAAAGTTGAAAAAAAAACTTTTTGAATTATTTCTGAAAAAACCAACTTTTCTTTGGAAGCTCTAGGATAAGTTTTATTTTTCAGTTTTTCTTTTGCGCTGATAAAAGTTGTTTATGTCAAAAAAGCTGTTAGAAATATCACCGAATAGAACCAAGTTCAAACGGAACATACTTCTTTTCCTCTTAAAAAAAAAACTAAAATTTTAAACTAGCTTCAAACAGCCCAATATCGTTAACGTGTGTGTGGGCGTGTGTGTGTGTGAGGGAGAGAGAGAGAGAGAGAGAACAAGGTTATTCATAAATGGTGGTTCACGAGAGGCAATGCTTCAAAGATAGTACTGTTTAAAGTTTGGATATGAACAATTGGATTCCATGTACAATAATATTTACCAACAGAACATAAAAGTATGTCAAAAGAAAAATGAAAATGGAGGACTTGGGACGAGAGCTGTATGAAATATTCTTACATATGATTTGATGGCTATTGACACCCCTCTCCCCTCAACAAAAAAAATGCAGTTGTTCAGTACAAAACATAATTCCAATAACAAAAACTATCTAAATATGACACAAAAATTGCAGAAAAAATTGGGATGAATGAATTGCCACAAAAGGACAAAAAAAAAAAAAAACCCTACTTCTGCAGCAAGCCTTCCTCTAATCTACAGCTTAACAATTCCGGTTACTATGTTGAGCATTATTAGATCTGCCATAACAGCTAGCCAAGAATGAAAGGAAGACTTTGTCCCATAACTTGTGCCCTGGTACAGAAAATCATAAGTCCTGAATCATTATTTCCTCCATTGTCTTGAAAAACTTCCATTTATAGATAAATTGGGTTCAGTTTAGCAAAGTTCTATAGTCTTAGAATAAACTTCACATCAGATGATTTTCATGATTTGACCCAGAGAATTGCAGCTGCATGTGGATTCATTGCTGGCTAGGTGGGGGAGTATGTGTGTGTGAGTTATATATTAAACACACACTTTCCTAAGTGTAATGGCAGGTTCAGAGAAATTACCAGAGTTAGAAAAAATTGGACCGTCCTAGGAAGGAAGAAACCTCTCATTGCTGAATCATTCATTTTCTCACAAATGGCTTCTGGCAAATGAGTAGCCGCTGATCGCTGCCATTCTCAAGATCAATCACCCTTGCTTCCCAACGGATCTGTGTAGCAAGCATGCGTGCCTTTTCTATAGGCCCCAGTTTATCAGAAAGAATAACCCATCCCTACCACAAACCATAATCATATGAACATTGACTGTTTAATCACTTAAATTGCTACACAGAAGCAAGATATAAACATAAGGATATATCTATCTTAGACTTAATACTAGTACTACTGATGATGATACTAACAACATTAATTGTAATAATAACAATAATAATGAAGAAGAACAAGAAGAAGAATACCAAAAAAGGATCTGTCCTTTTTAAGATGCACTTTTGGAAGTTTTGATTGAAGGAAAAAATTTACAGCCACTATTCGAAGATTCTAGGAAACAATATTTAAAAGCAAAATAAATGACATTTTAGGCAGCAGCAATCAAAAACGAAAAAAAGTCAATAGAAATTACCTCAGGGCGTAAAATACGATCTATCTCAAAAAGAAAGTCTGTGATACTACATCCCTCTGAAGTAAGGTGTGTAAGGGCCCCATTTGCATGAAGCATGTCATATGTCCGGGGGTATGTAGGGAAGGGTTCACACCTGTTCCCAATTAATGAGTAAAACATTAAACTCAGCACAACATTACAATTCTTTGAACCAAGATTTGTATGTTCATGTTACTAAATGTCTGGCAGATGATGAAGTCTTCATAAAATGACCAAAATTTCAAGACGCAAATCCCACAGATAGAAACAAGGGTGTGCATGAGGACGACACGATAGTAAACGTTCAAAATCTATTATATGAACCATTCAAAAATACATTCTATGACTTTGAGTTCGCCCGCAGAAGCATAACTCATTGTTCATGTTTATGGAAGTTGAAATTCATGTCTGCAAATATTGAGAGTCCTAACACAGTGTGGAACCATGACCACAGTTCGATTGTCACAAAATCTTTTAAAATTAATGATTATCTGAAGATCATAAAAACAAAACGTTATCTTTTAAGTTTGGCAGTTTAACTACATAACTTCACCATGAAATAAGGACGCTAGATGTCAAAATCAACACATAATTATTATACTTACCATATTACATAACTAGTCATTGCCTGTGTCTGAAGACACTATACAACAAACAAATGAAATCTTAAATAATTACCCAAATTTAAAAGGAATGACTTAAAAATATTCATACCAATTCTTTTTTTAAATAACTCAAAACTATTTGTTGGCCATATCCTTCGTATTAATGACACTGTCATAAAAATATGTAAAAACTCTCAAAAACAATACCAACACCATATATACAAATGCCTCTAGAAAAAAAAAATACTAACATAACCCCATGGATAATTACAATTTTTAAGCAATAAATAAAATTTTGCTCATTTATAAGATTCACAAATTTATCACTTCTATTACCACTCAATCCAATAAGATAACATAATTATAAACTCAACTACTATATTTTTAATTCACCCTATCCCCATGTAATAAATACCTCAAGTAAAAAAAAAAATACTAATAGAATACAATTAAATTCACAATCTTTGAGCGATAAATAAAATCAACCAAATCTTACTAATTTATAAAATTTATCAATTTATCACTATTCAACTCTAAATGACACAATATCATTACAAATTTAATCATTAAATGTTCAATTCCTCACATATAAATATACACAGAAAAACACCCACACACATTTCTTTTTTAGTTACCAAAAAATCCTCCTAACCAATAACTACTCAAGTTTTTAATATATACTAATAAAAAAAAATTAATGTTTAATTAAAAAACAGGATCAAAATCATGGATATTCCTTGAGTTTTGACAATATTACATGGATAGCTTCTAACATTTTGTAAATAACATGGAAATCCACTGAAGTTTGAATTCATTACCTAGAGACCCCTCTGTCTCCTTTCTGTCAATGTTGATAATGAAAATTGATAATTTCATCTCAAAAAATTTTATTAATTTTACAATTGTCCTTTTCTAAATTTAGTACCAAAAAACTTAAAAATTTAATAAAATCAAATAAAATTTAATTTAGTACCCAAAAAATTGATTAAATGAATTTTAATATTAATTTGATAACAATAAAAATTAATTTGATATTAATTCGACAAAATTTAATATAAATTGGAAAAAGTTAAATGTCAATTTTATATAAAATTATATATTGATTTACAATTTAAGGTTCATTTCATGTTGAATATTATTTAGTGTTTATAATCAACGTGCTATTTTTTATTTATTTATATTGAGTGTTATTTACAAATTAAAAAGCATGTGACAAAATACATGTTGTCATATATATAAAAACTTTGAATTAGTTTCATAGAATAAATAATTTTATAAGATATAGTTTCATTTGTTTTATGGAGTAAATAATAACAAAAATAACACCGAAGAAACAAAAAAAAAAAGATAATAGTATGAGAGAGAAAGAGAGAGAGAATTATATGAGAGTTGGGAGTCTTAGAGTTATACAAAGAATGAAAGACCAATTAGGACCATCGGATCAAAACGATATGAGCCGCGAAAAGTTTAAGACAAACAATCTAGCTACTTTATTATATAGATTTTCGTTAAAAAATAGAAAACGAGAAAAGATTCATCTAAAAGTTATGATGACTCTAAAAATAAGCGAATTCTAAAACCAAAGAGGCTATTTCTCTTATGAGTCCCAGATAGCTGCAAGACTGCGAGTGGGACGCCTGCACATCTTCAAGTAAAATTTGCCAAAAGAAACCAATATCCCTAAGCTGATACAAGCAATATCAAAAAATCTCAAGCAAACATCTTACCAGCTATGCAAAACACCCGCAAAACCTTGATCAAGTATGAGAGGAAGAGTATTTCGCACCCCCAAGGGCACAACATTCATCACCCACACTGATTTTCTTGCTTCCAGTAATGCAGCATTGAAACCCCCATAATGAGCGTTCATGTCCATCACATTCCGTATCATGTTATACGGAGGTAAAGGATCTTCATCGCCTGGCCTCTTTGGATGGTCAGAGAAAATCAAGGG